GCTGCACAATTGGTAGCTTCTGAAGAAGGGCTCAGCTCCATGAGTGAGTGAATGAGTAAATAAATTTATGCTCTTAACCGATATAAAATAAATCCCCTCTCTTTCGGAGTACATGTGTACTCCTATTGCACTGGAATAGCCTATAACTTTCTGTCCTTTTTTATTTGCTATTCTCCAGGATAAGAGTGAATGAGAGATTGAGACCTCCACAGCCGAACTCGGCGAGACAAGAGCTATTGCTCTAGCTATGAGGACACTGCGCAGTCATACAATGACAGCCAATCAATAAAACAATGATACATAGAGTAACGCGAGATCTCATGGGAAACGGATATCTGTCACGACTCCAGATGCCATACAAAGAACTAATGACTAATGTCGAGACAACAAGAGGACTCAGAAGAAATTGCAACACGTTGCATCCAGTCAAGGTTTCTGGTTGTCAACATATATCAAATCTAAGGTCAAGTTCAGGATTTCTTCTAAGTAAGAAGTTCAAATATGAATGTCTGCCACCAGCCTGCAGTTGTATTACGAGCAATACACTGGAACTTTGTACTTGAACTTCACATATAGGCTTATGCCTTTCCTCTCTCCTCCTCCTCGTCCCTCTGGTCTCGGGTTCGACCTCAACTCAGCTGCGACTACACACTGACCTCTCGACGTCTCTAGAGGGCCTAATTCTTTGGGTTCTGGTGTCCGCTACTTTCCATTCTCTTCACATATATTAATCATTTTCTTCTGAATTTGTATATTTTTACCGAAGAGGGATGAAGTGACAGGAGGTTGGAGAAAACTGCATAATGAGGAGCTTCATAACTTGTTCTCTTCTCCAAGTATAATTAGAATGATCAAGTCAAGGAGGGTGAGGTGGCCAGGGCATGTAGCAATTGTTCGACACGTCGTTTTATATGTGGTCCGTGTCGTATCAAAGAAAGATAGGCAATCAGATCTTCCCAGAACTTGTATTTTTTTACATTTACTTAATAAATGTGTAGTTTCTTCCATATATAAAGTTTACTTGTTCCAGTAGGCACACTGTCACTTCTTAAAATTTCATATCCACTGCTTGACTTTTACTAACATTTTATTACTTACTAATACAGGTCTCATTAATACACAGAAATGTGATGACTGTCATAATTTTTTAAATTTTGCCCTTTTCCTCTGTTTACTTTTTTGATATTACAGGATTTGAGGTTGTCACAGCGGTGGGTATGAAGAGTTCCATCTTCTGCGATGTAACATTGTGTAGTCCAATGAAAGTCAACCGGAGAAACGTGTCGCCAAGATTTTCAGGATAGAAGAATAAGCAAAGCAAGATAACAACTTGATAGCTGGTGGAAAGCTAAGATGGTTTCTTGCTTGGTTATTTCTTCTACCCTGAAGATGGAGGCGACATGTTCCTCCGGAACGCAGGTTGACTGTTAACGGATTATACGGCATTATATCTGAGAAAATATCTCTTTGATATTCTCTTTGCATTGTTGCTATCCCTTAACACAAATGTAAGTTCAAAGAAATATATATACGTACGTGTACACTCGGATGCTGACGTCTCGTAGAAGTCTTCCTACCTTTCGAAGGAAAATACTGCTCCACATTCAGGGTGTAATAGTAAGCAAATCAAAATTTGTCAGATTACATGGTACCGCATCTCAGAAGAGTTACTCTTCATACTTATCGTCGTTAAAACCTCAAATCTAACAGAGAAACTTTTACTTCAGTATTTACGTTATAAGTCTAAATGATTTCATGACAAAGACATGAACAAAGTAGTTAAAATATGAAACTTTTAATCTCTCATATGATGCAGTGATTAATAGCTACCTCTGCTTGGTATTAAGGAGGCCTCGATTTTAAATCTCGGTTCGAAGACCAGCTACAATCACGATTAATATTTTTCTTACTTTTCTTCAGTCTCTTCATGAAATTTCCTGTATACGTGGTAGTACCTCAAATCACGCCAAGACCGCTCTCTTGCCAAATCATTATTCACTAAACACCTCACCAATCGACACTATATGTATAATCCAAGCTATCGAAAGTTTATTTAAATAAACCATAATTAAATAAATGAAATTCACGTTTTTCCTCATTTCATCAAGACAAATATTGAGATGTAATTTTAACATACGCCTCAACATTCCAGTCCAACACTTATAATTCGTAATACATCCTACAATTCAGCAAGTGTAATTAGGAACCAACACTGGGCAACGCACCTAAGGCCAGACAGCCGGTTCAGAACTTGCAGATCGCTTTTGTCTCTCGGAGTACAAGACTTGACTTCCCGCTCTGTCATTCTGATTTCATGGCGGAAAGTGCGTCCATTACAGAACGCGCGCAGACATGAGTCACAGCTTCACGCAGGCCAGCGTGAGAAATAATAAAATCTCTCGTAAGATCGCCAGTAAAGGTAAAATTGTCCCTCTGCTTAAATGATGAAGCACTACGCCATGAAGGCGTATGGGCGAGTGGATGCACGGATCCACGTATTCTTGATCTCAGCACTAGTTGGAGGTGAGTGATTAGCTTCACGACTCGGCCGTTTCACCCCCGGAACCCATTAGATAGGAGGCTGGGTGAGCCCCAGAATCGATCTGGACGACGTGAAGAGGAAAAAAAATCTTACCCCTCCTGGGACTCGAACCCCGACATCTCGGCCGTCCAGCCCGTAGCCTGTAGCTATACCGGCTCCTTCGTAGGACTGCCAGTACTTCAGAAATTTCCTGTAAGTACTCTAGGTTCGAACTGAGGACTTCCAAAATCTACAATACATCCACAAAATAATATTCTTTAAGAATTCTTTGCTCGTGTGTAAAAGTAAATTCTGTGCGTAATTAATTAAGCACCACGTTATTAATATGGGCACGCGGTAGCGCAGTTGATTGAGGCACTATGCTACAAGCCGGAAGGTCGCGGGTTCAAGTTCCGATGAAGTCACTGAAGTTTTCAATTTACCTAATTCTTCCAGCCGCACTATGGTCCAAGGTTCGACTGAGCCTCTAACAGAAATGAGTACCAAGAATCTTCTTGGGGGGTAAAGGAGGCCGGCGCGTAAGGCTGACTTCACCGCCATCTATGAGCCGATTTTCTAGAAAATGTGGGACCCTCAAAGTCTCACAACCCTATGGGCCTTCACATCCTGTTACAGGGATAGCTTTGCCTTTACTTTTACAACGCTATTAAGTGGACAAAACACGGACAACTTAATCTTTTAAGTGTCAAATTATAGATCTGTTTTATTTAATTCTGTTACCTAAGCAAGACAGTACTGATACCAGTATTCTGAATGTCACACCTTGCAGTGTGGCACATGGATACGAAGGATATGGTGCCAAATGTCATCAAATGAATTAAATCACTGCAATTAACTTTGTTCTAAGTCAACAATATAACGAGACCCAAACAAAAAGATTGTTTGTATATGTCGTTAAGTGCACTCACCAGAAATCGGAGAAGAAAATGTAATTTTGGCCCTTTCTTTGATTAATTAAACACTCCGCCATGAAGACGTATAAGGGAGTGGAGGTATAACCCAATAGTCTTGACTTCGACACTAGGCTCAAGTGAGTACTTAACTTCAGGTTAGGGCCGGGCCATAGCTGAAGTAGTTAGTCGCTGGCTTCCCACCGCGGCGGCCTGAGTTCGATCCCGGCTCTGTTCAAGTGGGATTTCTGGTGGACAAAGTGGCGCTGGGACAGGTTTTCTCCGAGTACTTCGGTTTCCCCTGCCAATTTTCATTCCACCAATTGCTCCACAACCACCCTCACCTATCATCTGGGGCTGGTACAATAGGCCAGAAGTGGCCGCAGGACAAGGGACTTAGTCCCACCCCACTAGCAATAAAAAATAGCTTCACGCTCCCGCTGCTTTACCTCAGGAGATAATCCCCCAATACCCATTGGTTATGAGGCTGGGTGAGCACCAGTGCCAGTCTGAACGCTGTGGAGAAAAGAAAAATCTTGCTCTTGACATAAATGGGAGATGAATTTATTTTTTTTTCTAAATGGTCTCTGTGTTTACTTAAACACAAGATGAAAACACGCAACGAATAGGGTCACAGAGCCTTGCATTCTTATACACGGCTCTGAATGAAGAATAGTGGTCGGCTTCAAACTCCGGCCAATTTACCCCTTACAAAACAGCCTATTGTTTCCATTGATGGGATTCTGGACGGTTTCCAGTGTAAATCCGGAATTAATGAAGAAGAGAATAATCCCTGCCCATTCCTGGATTCGAACCTTGCTTGTATAACCAGGAGACAGTCACTTCACTGTCTGAGTTATACCTACTCCTTTCCTCCTCTTTCCTACCCGCAGAATATATCGTAACATTCCCTGTTGTAATACACTGTAATATTTTATTGTCTAATAAATTGAATGAGTTTTCCATAAATAATAACCTTCAGCAATTAAACTGACTGTGAGCAATTATCTGACGACCGTCCAAGCACGACAGCCTGGCATAATTGAATTCTGTCGTAACGCGATTCCATTTGTGTGAAGTCGCTGTTAAACCATGCGCAACTTCAGAGAACTGTCCTTCAATTACGTCTGTTTTGGTGTGTGTAACCGACTGACTGAACGAAAGAAAAAGATGCAAGAAGCTTTTAATTCTTTATTTCCTCCCCCATTACTGTCCGTTCCATCTCACTCGCACAACAATTTATATATTATCCAGTATCTCTTTCCAATTTCCCCATACCCTGCAGCTATAAAAGTCTTGCAGTGTAAGTTCTGTCCTTTACTAACACCGGCTTACTGGACACATATCGTCCTTGTCTACTAAGCAGTTCCTTTTTTACTGACAAGGGAAGTAAGAAGTTGTTTGGGGGGGGGGTTACTTGTTTCCCTTTTTACCTGTACAGCAATGTTGCCAGGTGTTCTTGTGGTGTCGCCGGTAGCAATGCTGCCCTAAAGGCAGCGACGGGTTTGCTGTGTTAGTTACATAGAACCTGGGCATGCAGGAAACCTTCCCGCCAGTCGGTATCTCGAAGCTGCCGCAAACAGACGCGCTTGGTGAACACGAAAGCCAGTCGAGTGTTGGAAATTTCGTACCAGAGCCGAAATAAAATGTTCTAGCGGTGCTGTGTGCTAGGAATGTCGACAGCTACGACAGCACATTTAAAATAAACCGAATTTACAACAAAACAAACACGTATAATGAAAATATGTTGTATCTGTGACGGTGTTGGTTACACGAGTCCCCAGTAGACTAATTAGTGTAGTTATCAGCAGACTGCAAAAGTGACAGTAATACAAATAAGAATTGTCTTTCAGGAAAAAGAAATGTGAAACGGAATTTGTTTTTATAGACATATTAATATAGGCACTTTAACTGTATTTATGACGCAACTGACGAGTAAAAATATTTAATTACAATATTTCAGAGCTAATATATAAAACGCCTAAAAGTAACACAGACTCCACTGTTATGGCAACGGATGAATATTCACTTCGACTGTGCTTCAGAAAATTGGAACGAGATACAATTGTTCGACGAAAAGGCACTTGTTATACAACAGAATTAATATAAATATTAAATCTGTCTAAAATCATTCAATATACATGACGACGTGTAAATCTGACAAATGATTTAGTCACGATTATTAAAATAAAAAACTGTTTGTTAACTAATTCTAAGAGTTTTAGCAGCAGCGACCATGCCATCGAGGTCACCAGCTCTCCTGTTGTTTGTCCTGATAGCGGTACCGTTAGCAACAATAAAAGGATCCTCAAAATTTAATAATGAGTTAATGCAAGATGGTGATAAAGTTAAACAAGAGAAAGTGTTAGAACTGCTGGACCAATACGTGCTTCATGTAGACAGAGGTCGGACGGACGATCAGACAGAAAGGGCTCCGGATCTCTTGGACCAATATGTTATGCACGTGGACAGAGGAGCACGTGTTGACTTGGAAGCAACCAGAGGTTGGAAGTGGGATATACGTCATCAGGCAGGCGTACAAGATCGAGAATCAAGAAAAGTTGTGTTGCAGAATTCGAAAGATCTGACACGCCGAGGAAGTAGGAGGAACCAGATACAAAATACCACACATGAAAGAGATGGAGGTCACAAATGGGGAGCATTACGAGCGACAGACCGTGTCAGAAGGAATATTCATGGAACTGAGAAGGGCCAGAAAGACCTGACAAATCCAAAGGATCGTCTGCGTTCGAAGCATGGAATTAGAGCTAGAAGAAGTTTAAGAGAAACAAGAACTGTGGAAGGTGTGGCAATTTCAGGCAAGAGACCACAGGAATACAGAAAATGGAATACCGCTGATGTAATGGGTCGGAACCCAGGACACTGGTCTAAAAGCTATGTAAGAGATGACGGCAAGGGGATGGCGGAGGAATTTATTGCGGCAGAGTCTAGGCAGAGGCGTAATATTGAAGCTGGAAATAAAACTGCTGACTCGGGGAAGGAAACTAACCGAGATTTGATCACTGGACCATGGACACACACTGTGCAGCTGGACGATTCTGTGAATCTGAGTTGGAGTGTGAAGGACGGAGGAGATGACATCGAGTTCCTGGTAGAGGCGGCTACCAGAGGCTACGTGGGGGTGGGGTTCTCGCCAGGAGGTGGAATGGCTGCAGCTGACATCATCCTGGGCTGGGTAGACGACAACACCGGTGAAGTGTATCTCGTGGTAAGTTCGCTATCGAGAGAATTCTATTAGGCCTGTGATAATTATAGTATGTTTAATGATTCGTAATTTGTACTCTTTGTCAAATATAATTAGAATGACGAAGTCAAGGAGATTGAGATGGGCGGGGAATGTAGAAAGCATGGGGACGAAGATGAATGCATATACGGTGTTTATGCGAAAGCTAGAAGGAAATAGGCCACAAGTAAGATATATATATATATATATATATATATATATCATCAGTTCAGTTCANAGTAATAAGACGGTGCGGTAGGGGATGGATTCATCTGGCTCAGGATAGAGATCAGAAGAACGCTCTTGTGAGCATGGTAATGAACCTTCGGGTTTCATAATATATGACGTTTTTGAGTAGTTGAGCGAATGGCGCCTTCTCAAGAAGGGCTCTGCACCAAGTTAGTTAGTTAGTTAGTTAGTTAGTTAGTTAGTTAGTTAGTTAGTTATGTATAATGATTATTTGTTTATGTTTCGTTCTTCCAATGTTTATGCAGACTAAACTTCTGATGAACTCCCGTGCCTTGTTTTGTCCGGCAGTACATAAAAAGTAAAACTATCCCTGAAACAGGCCGTGGAGGCCCATAGGGTTGTGACATGTCAAGGCTCCCACATTTTCTCTAGACAGTCGGTTCACAGATGGCGGTGAGGTTGTCAGCCTTACGTGCCGACCGGAAGCCCTTTACCCGCAGGATGATTCCTGGTACTCATTTCTGTTAGAGACTTAGTCGACCCCAGGGCTATACTGCGACTGGAAGGATTAGGTCAATTGAAAAAATCCAATGACCTCATCGGGAACCGAACTCGTGACCTTCCGACTTTTAGCATAGTGCCTCAACCAACTAAGCTACCGCGAACCCTTGGATCCATTTCAGCTGTAAAGTCTTACGTTACATTTAGGTAGATCTCAAATCTGCTTTTAGGCAAAAACAGACACAAATGTCAAAGCGCAAAATATCCTTGTTACATTATATTTATTTATTAATCTACTAATTTAAAGACTCTTTTAGTGTAACAGACTAAACGCCATCGAATGACAGAATGATTAATGAATGATACATTTGAGAGGAAGTGGTATGAAGCGGACGTGGTATAATTTCATATAGCATCCAGCATTTTCCTGGATAGACTGAGAAAACCACGAGATCCCACAGTCAGAATAGTATGTCTCAGCCGAAATTTGAACCCAGGAACTTCTTAATGCGAAGCAGGCATGCCTCCGATGGGAGGGCGACATCTGGCATTGTGTTGTAGAAATGCAATTGGCCCTCTTCGCTGGAGTACGTAAAGTGACCTAAAGTGGACATATTTCATTGCTGTGGCGACTAATTTAATCCTGGAACAGATCTGCGGGGTATATAACGTAATTTCCTAAGATAAGTTCTTTAAAATCTTGAATAAACTTTTCCGAAATAGATTCTTTGAAGCAGTAAATTTTATCTTATTGACTTTTCTCGGAATTCAAGAAAATGTCCCATCTAAGCAGTTTGAGATATTACGTTACAATTTAGAGATTTACACAGGTCGCATAGTGTTAAGTTTTTCTCAGAATACTACCGTTTCCGCTGTCAATTTAATATTCCATCAACTCTCCCACATTCATTACTCATCCTATTATCGACACAGTATAGTCCCAATACCTCTAGTGTCGTCAAATAGCTAACTTAAAAAGTGAATGGGGAAACATGAAGTACATGTATAATTATGGTGGGGAAACCCCTTTAAAAAGTAAGTTGAAAGACGGAGAAAATAAATGACGACCACGCGCAGGTGGCTGGAGTTGGATGAAGAATGCATCCAATTTTGGGTTCTGGTCATAGAGGTTTTAATTTGCTGATTTAACTATCAGAGAGACAGTTGGGTTTCCGTAAGAAGCTGAAAATTCCACGACTGGCTGAGCGACTGTTAGATTCTCAAGAAGTTCTCTTCTTCACACTATTGGTAACAGTTTACTAACGACTGTCTATTGAGACAGCTCTCATTTCTTGGCAACTGCGTCTTAGCACCCACGTGATAAATGGAGTTAAACTTTCAACTTTACAACTGCATTTTCATGAACTGTATGGGATTATCCTTCCGGCCGCACTATGGCCCTGGGGTTCACTCAGCCTCTAACAGAAATGAGTACCAGGAATTAAATAAATAATTTTCCTGGGGAGTAAAGCGCGGCCGGCGCGTAAGGCTGACAACCTTACCGCCATCTTTGAGCCGATTGTCTAGATAATGTGGGATCCTCAACGTCTCACAACCCTATGGGCCTTCACGGCCTGTTACAGGGATAACTTAACTTTACTTTTTACTTTTACGCCCACCACAGAACGTGAAAAGTAACTGAGCTTCCGAAGTGGTATTTCCCACAGTGCAGTAGCAGCCCCTGAGAGAATGCAAATTAGGGGACAGTTTATCTGAAGGGGCCAAAGTGGCGTTGTGAATGAATGCAACTAATGATAATAATTACAGAGAATTAGTTAAGTCATATTCGTCATTTTCCTATTCTTAGCGACTGCAATATCTGTGAAAATACGGGTACGTTTTCTAGATTCTAAAGAATTTTGACGATGACGTACACGACATTCGGTATTACTGGACTTTTGGACTTTGTCCATCACTCGGTATTCTAAAGAAGACAACTAGACCACTGGGGAGACCAAGGCGTAGGTGGGTGGACAATATTGAAATGGATCTTAGAGAGATAGGATGGGATGGGATCGATTGGATTGATCTAGCTCAGGATAGGGACCAGTGGAGGGCTCTAGTGAATATGGTAATGAACCTTCGGGTTCCATAAAATACTGGGAAATTCTTGAGTAGCTGCAGAATTGGCGGATCCTTCAGTAGGGCTCAGCTCCATGAGTAAGTAACTAAGTAAAGAACACAACTTTCCGGACTTATATCAAGTGTCCGAAAAGTTTTATTCTCTAGAATACTGGACGACGGACAAATTCCTAATAATCGGAAAAAACACCCAGTTTCCTGAACGTTGTGTTCTTTAGAATACCGAACGTTGGACAAATTCCCAAGAGGAAACAGATCCAGTTTAAGGAACAGTGTGTTCTTTAGAATACCGGACGATGGATGAAACCCAAAAACCCAGTAATCGAAAACAGATCCAGTTTCCGGAACATTTCGTTCTTTAGAATACCGGACAATGGATAAATTCCAAATTCCCAATAACCGGAAACAGATGCAGTTTACGGAACACTGTGTTCTTTAGAATACCGGACGATGGATGAGCCCGAAAACCCATTATTCCCAAGTGATCCAACGTCGCGTTGACTTGTTCAGGATTGGAGCTGCCGTGCTATTACTGTATAATTTAGCAGCATCTTGGAATTACAAGGCATCGCTAATTAGCTTAAGATTTTAAATATTTTATTTACACATATAATTTACGTACAAAATGTTGGTGATATTTTGTTTAGATTTAAAAATCTATTTCATATTGGCTGACTCGTCTAATTAAGGAATTTGTTTGACACGAATATAAAAGCATAGGATCCAACTGTTTATTAATCAAAATGTTTTATTACAATTACGTAACACCGAAAATAACTCGATCTGTCACTTGATTAACCAGTTACTATTAATATCTGTCCCAGCGATTGTGATAAAACCACAACATACTACTATTTTTAGAGTAAGGGATTTTTAGCTCCGCAAAAATTCGTAAGTTAGATATCCAGATGTCGTAACTGAGAGGTAACAATTATTCGTCGCAGTTCTTAAAGATTCTGTCTCTAAATTTCGTTAATTTTCAGATTATTAGTACACTTAATTCCTTTGGCCATGAAAGCAATATACCAATAATTAAACTCAGTAAAATAATATTATAAATCAGGAAAAAAGTCCGTTTTGTTCTGTCTTCTGTGTTCAAGTATTCATGTCCTAAACACTGTATCCCTGTTTTCCACTTTCCACAAAAGTGGATATAGAAATATCAAGAATTTCGGGGATGGATTTTTGAGGTGATAAAATCAAGAAGGATGGTATGAGCACGGAGTGAGCTTAGGGAGAGCAGGAAATGCATAAAATATTGTAACATGACGCCTGAAATCGGAATGGTCCATTGCTGGGCAACGGCTGGCTAAGGCGCGTATCCGCTACAACTGATATGCTTGTAGAAATCAAAGCGTTGTTACGAGACCACGTTTCTTAGCAACGGACAGACACCGAATAATAGACGAAATGTTCGGGGTGGTGATCTCTATTCGGTTCGCCTCGAGTAAAAAAAAGAAGGGGACACGTAATTGATTCGAGAGTTCATTAGTCAGTCATTAAGAGAATTGAGAAAGCAGTTCAATACTTCAGTGTTTAGTTATGGAGTGTTAACCGGCGGGAAATAGAAGCTGAAACACTCTCAGAACCAAGTCAGACACGGGAAAGGAGAAAACACTCGTAGTCCAGTAAGGAATTGAGCGATTGGAATTAAAAAGATTTTAGTAGCAGTGACAATAAATCGAATCATCCTATCCACAACCCGTTATTATTAGTCACGAAACCCCGGACACGTGATACAGAAGTGACAGAAGTGGTTATGACCATAAAAACGTGCAATATGCAGTTCCTGAAGATGTATCTAGAAACTACATGATATACACTGAATTGTACTATCTTGTAAGATGTAACGCCCGAGTAGTTCGATAGAAATACGTCGACGTTTCGGAGGAACATACTGAACCCATCTCCTAAGTCGAAGAGTAATCTAAGCAAGAAATAAAATAGACGAGAGCTTACCGCCAGGAGGAAATACGTAACTAAAAAAATAGCCATACTCCGATCTGACTACACGGTTCACTAGTTCATGATCTGAAGATTCACGCCGCTGACTGTTGAGGTCTGTTACCATGGCAACGCTACTGAAGCGGGGGATGCTGCATCGCAGACCATCATCATCATCTGTCCACCCCGTAGCTGACCGCAGTCGAGGCCACGTTCCAAGGCCAGACTGGCTCGCGAGAAAGACACATCTGTCGTGCCTTGCAATTAAC